GAGAGAGGGAGAGAGAGAGAGAGAGCATGAGACAGAGACAGAAGCATCATTTGCATGGTCTTTCTCCTTTTAAAATCCCACAATTTCTTGTGGTCATTTAACTTAATGAGCATAATTCCTCTCAAGAAAAAGCAGTTATTGAATCTCAGTGTGCATCTTAGGAAATATATTTTAAACACAAGGAATGTTTTTATTGTTTTCTTTAAAAATCCTTGCTCTAAAAGGGAAAAGCCTTAAGCACACATGTACACATTCTCTATTTCAAACTCAAAGCTGACCTTCTATGGAGGACAGCTGTTGATGTCAAGTGACACATGTATCCTGGAGCTCAGACCTCTGAGCTAACTCCGTAATTTATGTATAGTATGTAATATGTATACATGTAATAGTATTCTAGGTTCTAGTTCAAAATGTCAAACAGAATCCAGTTTTACTTTCATAGCCAGCAATTTCACCAATTATTGAACATTCGAGTTTTTAAATACCATAGGATTTTTTAAATATTAAAAATGGACATATATAAAAATGGACATATAATTATACAGACAAACGTGCTGTCAATTTAGGCTTTAATCTATATGATTAGAAAATGACAAAATTTGCTGGGCGGTGGTGGCGAACACCTTTAATCCCAGCACTCGGGAGGCAGAGACAGGCGGATGTCTGTAAGTTCAAGACCAGCCTGGTCTACAAGAGCTAGTTCCAGGACAGCCTCCAAAGCCACAGGGAAACCCTGTCTCGGAAAAAAAAAAAAAGAAAATGACAAAATTTGTTTCAGTGGTTACATTTGAGTGGTTGAATTATGAATGAAGTTGCTGTTCTTTATACTATTATACATTTTCCAAACTTTACAATCCTGTTTATTTGAAAAGTAATTCATACTTTCAAAAGCAATTTAACAGACACACATGTGGCCACCACCAGGCTTGATGTCAACATTTTGCCATGTTGGCCTCAGGAATCTTCAAGAGTTCTTTCTGAGAACTATGTTGTATATAACATAAGTACCCCCCACCCCATTATAATTTCCCCTTTTTTCTTCTATAGAAGTGTGCATTTCACTGTGTTTATAGATGTACTATCTATGTATCCTTAATAATATACACTTGCTTTTGTGTGTCAGTATGGCGGGTGTGTGTGTGTGTGTGTGTGTGTGTGTGTGTGTGTGTGTGTTATGTGTGTACACATAGGCATGCCTATGAAAGCACAGAGACCGTAGACCAGGCTGGCCTCTGTCTCCCAAGTGCTGGGATTGAAGGTGTGTACCACCACACCCAGATTTTTAAAGATTTTTGTCAAATACTGCTGCAACGAGTGTCCATGTACTTATTATGTCCCTTGTGCACATGGGAGAAGACACTGGAGTGGAATCAGCGGGGCGGATTGGTTTGTGTACCAAGTTATACTTCAACAGTAGTGAGTGCGACAGTCTCAATCTCACTCCTCACACCACACTAATGTATGCCACTGGCAGCATTTTAAGCATTCTGCCTGAAATTCATTGGGTGTGCCCCATGAAAGGTTAATATTCCTTTCTAAGTATGCTGCCCACGTGAGTTTCTTCTTTACAGCACTTTGCCTGTGTTAGCCTGTGCTCACTTTTCAATCGGTTTTCCTGTATATTTAAGATCTGTTTATAGTGCTTTTTTATATGTGGATGCTGTTCCTTTAATGGTTATGTTGCATTTTAGGAACATTGTGCTTAGATCAGGAAAATTAGTTTTAAAGTAGATCCATTTGTATTCATTGTAGCTTATCTGTACTCTGTGTCTTTCCTAGCTGCAGAAATGAGGCACAATGACAAGATCATGTGCCTACTCCATGACCGGGAACGGAGGGACAAGAAACAACTCTGTTGTGCTATCAATGACTTCCAGCAGAGATTTCAGAAGCCAGAAACTCGCCGTGAGTTTGATCTGTCTGACCCACTGGCCCTCAAGAAAGATCTCCCAGCCCGGGTGTCAGACAGTGACCCGAGGAACAGCATATCAGGAATGCAGAAGTTCATTGGAGAGGATTTAAATTTCCACTGGAGGAAGAAGTTCCAACAGGAGCAGAACAGAGAATGGTACCTGCAACAGTACAGAGAGTGGGAGAGAGCGCGGGCTGACCACAAGCTTGCAGGTAATGAAAGAGAAGACAAGTTTATCTCAACCCCTAGCTCAGTTTTTATGGGTGCTTTTAAAAGCTCTGTCAACATTACAAAAGTCAACACCTCAGCCCCAGGAGTCAGCATCTCCCGGTGTGCCTTCACAGTACAGGAAATGCTTTCTGAGCACTCCTATTGCCCTGGTTTGCTTTCTATTGCTGGAATGAAACACCACGACCAAAAGCAACTTGGAGAAGAAAGGGTTTATTTAGCTTCCAGGTCACAGTCCATCACTGAGGGTAGAACCCAGAACCCGTGAAGAGCAGGAACCTGGAGGCAGAAGCTGACACAGCCTATTTAGAAGATGAATAAAAATGTGTGTGGTTATCCAAGTCTCCTTTGGGAGCCCAGTCACAGGCCCAGTGCTAGCAGGTTCTCATCAGGACTCACTGGATTCAGAGAGCCTCAGGATTCAGACATGAAAGGGCCTCTCTATGGGGAACAACAACAAAAAGCAGTATGTTCTGCCTCCATAGAGGCCATCAGCCCCTCCTTGGCAGGCACTTGCAGCAGCTTCTGGTCTTCTGAGCAGGTCACTAGTGACTGAACCGGGAAGAGCTGCTGGGAAGAGCAAACCAGAGCTAAGTGGGAGCAATTGCTCTGCCCTCCCCAGCTGCTCCAGTCTCTGTGTTAATTCAGTCCCCTTGCTCAGCTCGGGTTCCTCTGATGGTTTCCTTCTCAGCTCCCTCCTCTGTCCTCCTTGTCCACTAAAGTTGCTGTGACCGGCCTGGCCCACGGTCTTCATGCTCCCCTCTCCGATGTCAGTTCTCAGCTTCAGCCCCCTGGATTTGCCTTCCAGGCCAGTTCTTTTCCCTGGTTTCTCTGTTGGATCTGCTCCTCTTTCAGCCTCCCCTGCCTGTCCAACCAGAGATCTGAGAGGCAATCCTGACCCCATCTTCAACTATCCTCAACTGTGCCCCTTCTACCTCCTGCATATTCTTTGAACTGTCCACTTCTCGTCATCCTTTGGCCACCACTGTTGAGACAAGACATCAGATTTTCTCCCCGAATGGACCTCTGCTAGTGGCTTTCTAACTGTTCACTCCCACCTCTAGTCCATTCCTAACATGTCAGGCAGAATGACACTTCTCAAATAATGTCACGTTGAACCATGCCACACCCATGCCCTCATCCTAGCTCAAAGATATCTAATGTCTTCGTGGGATGTGGAATGAGTTTAGAGACAGCGCATAGACTGTACATGTTAGGCCTCTGCCCACCTGGAGAACATCAGCTGATATCTCCACCTCATTCAGGGCATTTCAAACACATTGGCTCTTTCACTTTGGATTCCCTCATGTCTCTCCCACCTCAGGGCCTTTGCACCTGCCCTGACCATTTAGTCTTTCAGCTCTGGATAAACATGTCCTCCTAGAAAAGCAGTTTCTTGGTCCCTACCCTCCAACTTCCCTATCCAGAATTCCCAGCATTTCCTTTTTCATCTCATCCTCCCTTTCCTCAATGGACTTTGTATATCTATTTGTATTTCCTCAATACTTTGTATATCTATTTGAGCAGGGAGGGGGGGTTGTGTGCTTTGAACCCCCTTTTCTCACCTTTGTGTTGTGTGTGCCCTGAGAAATGTGGGACCCAGTCTAGGCTCTTGATCACTATCTGGTACATGACAGATTAACAGAAGAAGAGTAAGCTGATGATGAAGGTGTACAGAGACCAGAAAGCCAACGCTAAAGCGTCTGGGCCTTTGGGACTGCCTTGCAGTGCAGTAGTAGAGCACTTGCCTATTGTGTGTGAGGCTATGCATCGCCAGCACCGGAGTGTGCGCTTTGTGTCTGGAGTTAATGGGGAGCCACTCTGAGCACAAGTAGAGAAAGCAGATGCTGCTGAACATTGACTTTTCATATGTCCATTGCATCTCAGCACTGTACCTCGGTGAGGGTGTGGGACACTGCGGTTAAACAATAGCCTGCTGATAATGGTGCTAGGCCATGTCTGGAAGCCTGTTCTGACTTTGAACTTTTCTACTTCACTCCTGGTACCCTCCAATTTCACCCTGCCTTGTCCCCCTCACTGGCCTGGCAAATTTCTGCTGCTGCTCCACAAGTGTCTGTGACCTGGCACTCTTTGCTACGGGTCTTGTCTGGTTTCTTTCTACAGCCCTTTTTTCCTGGTTCCTACTGCTTCTTGCCTTTGCAAGGCTGAAACCATCTGATAGACCAGTGTCAGCAAGGTCTAACTAATCTACCCTAGGACTGCTGCAGACATCACCAATTCACAGCAGACATCATCAGTCTGTAGAGATTACAAGTATACCCCTTGCTCACAAAGATCTATGAGCTACACCTAAATCATCCTGCTCTCCCAGAACCTGTGAGGCAGTAGCTCTCCCCGCTCCAACCCACTCTCCCTTCTCTTCCATGGTAAGAAATGAGTGTGAATCACCATGCCACAGATGGTACTTCTGGTGGGCATACTCAGGCTGATGGTATCTTGTCCCCTGGCAGAAGACCTCTACACACAGACAAGACTAAAGTTTGATGAAAAAGCCAGAGAGCTGCAGAAGCTGGAAAACTTCACCAGAAAGGAACTCTGTGCGGCCACGAAAGAGTTCAACAAGAACCAGGTATATGCACCCTGAGCTCAGTCTGAAGGAAAGAGCATGCACATAGCAGCTTCCTCGGGGCTCCCTAAGTTTTGAAGGGTCCCAAGTTGAGACTGCTCACACCACCAGCTCTAACAGAGGTAGGTGAGATCTAATTTGGCCTGCCCCTCAACTAGGCTGTAAACTTCATATAAGTTGCAGGGACTGGGAAGGGTGAAACTTAAAAAAAAAACAAACAAAAAAACTTCTTTATTAATTCTTTGGGAATTAATCATGCACTCCGATTCTGCTCACCTCCCAGTCCCCCCATATCCTCCCCTCAGCCTTGCAGCAACCTTCCAAAAGAGAACAAAACAAAGCAAGCAAGCAAACAAACAAAAATAAGAACAACAACAAAAACCAAACCAAGACAAAACAAAACAACAACAACAAAATCTCTTTGTTTCTCCTTTCCCACCTCTCCAACTCCTCTTCATTTGTCCTGGTAACACTGGGGGCCTCAGTGTGTCATACAGTATACCCTTTGTCCCATCAGCTTGACTGGCACATGTTCATTGCAATGAGTCACTGGTCTGGTTCAAGGCTTCTGGTTTCCAGTACACCATCCTCACTGGATCCTCACTGGAACTCCTCTGGGATATCCTGTGGCTGCCCCGAGTCATGGAGATACTTCGGGTATTGATCCACAGGACCAGTCCCTTCATGAGCTTCAGAGGTCCTAGATGGGATAGATGTTAGGGTGAGCCAACCCAAGGCCTGGCTGAGACCCTGGGTGGTAGCTGAGCTGGTCAGTCTGGGCCACTGGGGCCACCTGCCTCTGTTAGAGTCAGCTCCCCTACATGCATGCCCTCAGGGTCAGTTCACCCTCACCTGTGGTGAGGGGTGGGACCAGCTCTCTTGCTGTAGGTTCCAGTGAGAGGCAAGGCCAGCTTTCCCAGGGCCAGCAAAGGGCAGGGCTGGCTCAGCATGACCCTCTGGTTTTATCTGGCATGGTTTCTATGGACACCTGGGGTGACAGAGGTCACAGACATCAACAAGGGTGTCACTTTTAACCTCCAGAACATGAGGACAGGAACATCTGTGCAGATGAACACCATTTGGCCTGGGCTGGTGTCAGTTCTTATCATGTCATAAGCTCAGTAATCAGGCAGTCAGTGCAGACTGATGGCACCCTCCTCTTCTCAACTGCCTGACTTCCCCATAAACTTCCTGTCTTCCAGCCCCTCCTGTAGATGCCCCAAGTTCCTTATTCTTTTGGAAACTGCTTCCTCCTCTAGGTTTTGTTTTTTTTGTTATTTTTTTGTTTTGTTTTTTGTTTTTCGAGACAGGGTTTCTCTGTGTAGCTTTGGAGCCTATCCTGGCATTCGCTCTGGAGACCAGGCAGGCCTCGAACTCACAGAGATCTGCCTGCCTCTGCCTCCCAAGTGCTGGGATTAAAGGCCTGTGTCACCAACACCTGGCTTGTTATTGTTATTGTTGTTTTTCCCATGCAGTTCTATTCTTGGTGATTTACCAGGTCTCCCTGTCTCTAGACCTATGGCCTCAGGAAGAAAATGGCTGATTTTATTTCATATTTACTGGTTTTGGTTTTTTGTTTGTTGTTTTTTAATCAAGACAGGGTTTCTCTTTGTAGCCCTGGCTGTTCTAGAACTCACTCTATAGACCAGGCTGGCCTTGAACTCACAGAGATCTGCCCGCCTCTGCTGAGTGCTGGGATTAAAGGCATGTGACACTACACCTGTTGTAATTTAAGAAAAGTAGCACTTGAGAGAAAGATGCCATGCGACAGGTTCAAGTAGAGGGTTTTTGTTGTTTGTTTGTTTGTTGTTGTTGTTGTTGTTGTGTGTGTGTTTTTAATTAGGGAAAGAGATCATAAAAGGGGGAAAGGGAAGGAGGGAGACCAGCCTCTGGAGACAGGAACAGCAGGAGAGAGGAAAGAGGGGAAAGAGAGAGAGGGGAAAACAGAGAGAGGAAGAGAAAGAGAGAGAGAAGGATGGAAGGTGGGCAGGGCCCTTTTAAAAGGGAATGTAGTGAATGTGCACAGGTATTGCTCTTAGTGGCTGCAGTTGAGGGCGTATCCTGTCAAAACCCCAAGGACAGGCCAGTACAGATGCCTGAATACTAACAACACCCCGCTTCCCATTTGCTCTTAACCTCCTCTCTCTGAACTCAGAGACCGTGGTGGATTCTGTATAGCACATGCTGTGTTTATGGTGTGGTAGTAGCACACAGCCAGCTGAATCTGTGAGATGCAATGCAGTAAACTGTTCTGTGATGGGCCACGAATCAAAACTCAGAGACACTGAGGTGAGTCCAGGCTGAGAGAATCCAGGTTTCCAGCAGTGCAGAGAGGAAAAGCAGGGCAGAACGCCAGTGTTGGTGAGGGACCCAGAGGACATACCAGCAAGCTGCAAGTGTTCTTTTTTTATTATTATTATTATTTTATGTGCATTGATGTTTTGCCATGGGTGTCAGTCCCCTGGAATTGAAGTCAGAGACAGTTAAAAGCTGCCATGTGGGTGCTGGGAATTGAACTCAGTCCTCTGGAATAGCAGTCAGTGCTCTCAACTATGAGGCAACTCTCTGCCCCATTACAAGTACTATAAGTGTTCTTCGTTTTTTTTTTTTTTTTAGATCTTTTTTATTTAAATTCTTTAATTACTACTCATATTTACATATCCATCTCCCCCATTCCTTCACTCTCCATCCTCCCATGTTCCCCATCAACCCCCACCCCAACCAATCCCCCAACTCCTCCCCAAGGATAGTGAGGCCCTCCACCAGGGACCTACAAAGTCTGTCATATCGTTTGGGGGAGGGCCTAGCCCTCTTTGTTGTATCTGGGCTGCAAATAGTATCCCTCCATAGGGAATGGGCTCCCAAAGTTCATGATATTTTTAATGCTGGCAACAATTTTCTGCTGCCATGTTTGGCTCTTTGACTACCCTACCACAGAGGCTGATTAATGCCTGATTAATGTCATTGATAATGGCTGGTTAATGTCATTGATAAAGCAAGGCTCAGAAGGGATGAGCAATTTTCCAAGGAAATACAAATACTTTTAAATGGCAAGTATTTGAATTTGGTCTTTGTCTGCCACAGAGCCTACGCTAGATTGCAAGGCAGTTGGCCTCTTGCAAGCCCCTGCCTAAGTTCTCTGTCCATTCTTCTCTAAGAAGAATAGTCAATGCTGAGAAATGTCTCCTAGTCACCTATATTAGTCAGAGTTTTCTAGAGGAACAGAACTGATAGAATGAATCTCTATATATAAAAATGGGGTTTACTAGAGTAGTTTATAAGCTGTAGTCAGACTATTCCAACAATGGCTATCTCCTGACAGAAAGTTCAATAACCCAGTAGTTGTCCATTTGGTTCATGAGGCTGGATGTCTCAGGTGGTCTTCAATATACCCTAGAATCCCAAAGAAGTAGGCTCTAGCACCAGTGGAGGAGTGAGCTTGCCAGTCAGAGTGAGGACAAGCAGGCAACAAGCAAGGATTTACATTAGGCTGCCACCAGAAGTTGTGGCCCAGATTTAAGGTGGGTCATTGTCTTAGTCAGTGTTCTATCGCTGTGAAGAGACACCATGATTGGGGCAATTCTTATGAAAGAAAACGTTTAATTGGGGGCTTGCTTGCAGTTTCTGAGGGTTAGTCCATTTATCATCATGGTGGGAGCACAGCAGCATGCATGGCACTGGAGCAGTATCCGAGAACTTTTCACTGCTGACCAAGGGCAACAGGGAGTGAGGCACTGGGCCTGCTGTGGACTCTTAAACCTTAAAATCCATCCCCAGCAGCACACTTCCTCTAACAAAGCCACACCTCCTAATCCTTCTAATCCTCAAATAGTACCTCTAAGTATTCAAATAAGTATCCATTGGGAGCCATTCTTATTTAAACCACGACAGGCTTCCCACCTCAAATGATCCAATCCAAATAAATAAATAAATAAATAAATAAATAAATAAATAAATAGATCCCTCACACATGTACCCAGCATCTATAGATGTAGTCAAGTTGACAACCAAGAATTACCATCTCTTGATTGTACAGAGAAATATCTGCAGCCCAGAGAAGGCAGGAATACTATACAAATCACACGGCCCTCACTTCCAGACTTTGAGCAGTGAATCAACAAGAATTTGGTTATGTTTATTTTTTTCTCCAGAGACAGGGTTTTTCTGAGTAGCCCTGGGTGTCCTGGAACTCTCTCTGTAGACCAGGCTGGTCTCCAACTCACAAAGATCCACCTGCCTTTGCCTCCCAAGTGCTGGGATTAAAGGTGTTCACCAGACAGGAATTCATTTGTAATGGGGGCTATGCTGAAACTGTCAGGACTGCTGAGGCAGTCGTATGCTTCTCCCTTTAGAAGTCACCACTGTGGCAGTTTGTGGTAGAGGCCTACAGATGTCCAAAGGTTTTTAGGATATACACTGCCCTATACTGGAGATGAGCCAGTGGAGAAACTCCTTGCTGTGACAAATTGATGCAGAGACCCATAGTAGTACACACACCGGTGGGGAATGCCCCAAAGCCCAGCCACTGCCCAACAGAGCTCTGATAGTCTCCAGCCTGCAGCCAGGGCCCAGATGAGGTCTTGACCCTAAAGTCACTCCAGGGTATTCCAAGGTCCTTCTCTGCACAGGCTATGGAGTTGGCAGAAAGGAAGAGGCAAGAGAAGCAACAAGAGCAAGAGGACAACATGACTGAGATCTCCAACCTGCTGCATAGCGACTTGCTGACTGAGAGCTCACAGCAGGCAACCAGCTCCTTTGGGCCTCATCAAGTGGTCCTTTACCGCTGGAAGGGCATGAGCCCGGAGCAACTGGAAGAAATACGCTACACTCAGAAGCAACAAATCCAGGAAAAGTTGGTGAGCCCCTCCTGGGCCTCAGAGCCACCTCTGTGCCCCTGAATTGCCCTGACACCCAGCTCCTGTGTCAATACTCACTTTGAGAAATCCTCTACCACGGCAGTTTTCATTCTGGTGTGTGGGGGGGTGTAGATGGAAGTTTCTGTCCTGCCCAGTCCCACAGCTGTTTAGTTCCAAATGAACACACAGAGGCTTATATTAATTATAAGTTGTTTGGCTGATAGCTCAGGCTTCTTATTAGCTAGCTCTCTCTTAATTATTAACCCATTTCTATTAATACATAGGTATTTCCATGTGGTGTTGGCTTATCATAGAATACCTGAGTGTCTTACCTTCCCTACATGATGTCTCCTGTTGACTTACTCTTGTTCTTCTTCCCAGCACTCTCCTACTCTGGTAGCCCCACCTATACTTCCTGCCTGGCTCCATTCTGCCTGTCCACTGGCCAGAACAGTTTTATTCAATAAGAAAAACATATATTCACAACATACAGAAGGATATTCCCCATGGGGGTGTGGGCATGCAAGAGCCAAATACAATGGTCACACATGATGTGTGGAGCAGAGGATGACTACAGCCTTTGGAGGATGGAACTTGTGTCTACAGAGATGGGAAGTTGGTGGGAGGGGCACTCGGGTTGTGGGGGCTCATGAGCACAACTTTGCATATGTTAACTGTGTAATGTCCACCAGACATCTGTGGGATTAGGTTTGCCTGATGTGACAAAAGAAAAGAACACCAAAAAGCACAAGCTAAAACATTCTAAACAAGGTAGAATCCAATCTGTATGTAATCAGTCCTCAAAGCAATCTCAAGCTTGAAGAGAAGTTCTGTGGCCACTGTATTCTGCCATCCTTGGCGCCTGGTTCTAACTTTGTGCAAAATGGCTGCTTAGATGCCAACCATTGCATACATGAGCAAACAGTGGAGAAAGAAAAGTAAGGATAACATTTTTAAGGAGTTTCACAAGACATTTCCAGACATGTTTCATTGGACAACATTTAAATTGCTCCAACTGTAAAGGACATTGGGAAATGTGTCACTAGTGATTCTTTTTTTGTGTGTTTGTTTTTTGTTTTTTGAGACAGGGTTTCTCTGTGGCTTTGGATACTGTCCTGAAACTGTCTCTTGTAGACCAGGCTGGTCTCGAATTCACAGAGATCCACCTGCCTCTGCCTCCCGAGTGCTGGGATTAAAGGCATTCACCACCACCACCTGGCCTAGTGGTTCTTTACTAAGGATGGCTACTGGGGACTCTTACATTTTCTGTCTACAATTTCCAGGTGAGGTGTAAGAGGGGAGAAACAGAGAAGGAAGCAGGGTGTATAATCAGGTCTCAGAACAAGGACTAGGCTAGAGCCTTATGTTTGGGAGTTGTCATCTACAGAAAGTAATACGGTAGCAGTCCTGGGTGTGACCATAGGTGAAGAGACAGGAGAGGAGCCCTGAGGTCTGGGGCTCAGGCATGGCCTTCATTTACAAAGCAGGAACCTGCTAAAGGTACCTGGATAAGAGGTGGGTAGATGGATGTCAAGAAGGATGTCTGGAGGTCAAGGAAGGAAAAGTGTTCCTGGAGGGTAGTGCAGGAACCCCTGCACCACAGTCCAGGATGTGGACTGCCCCCTCAGCAACCCACCAGGCAGAAGTGCTGGTGGGGTGAGGGAGGATCACTCTGTGATTGGCTGCAGGGAAGGCTGGCCTGGGAGGAGACAACAGGGCAGGAATGGCAGAAGGCTCTGTCAGTCTGTCATACATCTGTTCAGCTGGACTGTGGAATGAAGGTTGGCTCTAAACCCAGTATTTTGATCCAATTTTTAATCTAGAAGATTTAGAAGGCAGGAACACACAAAGCGAGAAAGACCACATTAAGATTCTTGCTCAGGGCTGGGCATTGGTGGCCCACACCTTTAATTCCAGCACTCAGGAGGCAGAGGCAGGCAGATCTCTGTGAGTTTGATACCAGCCTGGTCTACAGAGTGAGGGCCAGGACAGGCTGCAAAGCTTCACAGAGACACCAAAGCCTGAAAAACAAAACAAACAAACAAACAAACAAAGATTCTTGCTCAGGCCCTTGCTCCATGTCTTCTGGTGCTTTGTCTTTGCCATGCTCTCTGTGCCCTGGGTGGTCTGGGAAATGGAGCTCATGTTGAGGCAAGTATGCTGCTGGCTCTGGTGTCTTTGACCAATCCAATTTTAGAGAGGCTTTTGATATTCCCAGAAGCAAGGCAAGGTGGCAGGTGGCTAAGCCTGTGCAGGCTGACTTCGTGCCCTGGCAGTGTGGATGCTCATCTTTCCTCCAACCTGCCCCCACCACCCAGTTGCTTCTCCTGGAAGGTCATTGATGGGATGCTCACCGAGCTGATCTCTCTTGGGAGCAACTTCTCCACATTAATCCAGCATCCCCTGGAAGGCTCCATGCTTCACCAAGAAGGATTTGGAGTGCATATCCAGGCCTGAAAGGCAGTACTTCTAGAACTAGGCTGTCACCCACACCCTCATGGTGACACTGTTGTCATGGGGTGAGGCTTAGTGCTCAGGGGCTCCACAGATGATCCCCACTTTGGGCAGCTTGCTGGGGTGGTATCTGGCTTGCTAAGCCAGCTGGGTGCCCTCCTGAGGACTAGATAGAGATCAGTGTGGCTGGGAAGGCTATGGGAGCCAAGTCCCCAGGTCCTTCAGTAATAAGAGAGCATCAGTGCCATTTGTGGGCAGAAAGCTGCCAGGCCACAAGGGCAGAGTGTGTGAGGTCACCTCCCTTCTCCTTCTTCAAGCTTCAGTTTCTCCATCCATAAAAAGAGGCCATGTTTCCCAGATGAACCCCACTGGCTCCTGGGCCTTGGGAGAAGGTGGTAAACCCCTTTTCCTGCCTTCAGAGGCTTCAGGAGGAAGAGCGTCAGCGCAACATGGACTGGGACCGACGCAGGATCCAGAAGGCTCGTGCCAACCTGCTGCATGAGCGTCAGCAGCAACGCTTGCATCGGGAACTGCGCAAGGCCCTGGACTGCAGCAACCTCAACCTGGCCAGGAAGCAGTATTCACAGTGAGTGCCAGGGACCTTCCATAGGTGCAGAGTTAGGTGGGCAGACCCACAGGTCACCATGTGTACCTTAAGTGCCTGAGGGACCCTAAGTCACCTGGGGAATCAGAGAGGCTTTTTTTGGGGGGGGGAGGAGCCTTCAAGGCTGAGTCTTGGGGTGCAGTAGCCTACTGTGTACCCTCTCCAGGCAGAGGGGAGGAGGGCTCCCAGTGGGGGGTAGGAGCCTTCAAGGCTGAGTCTTGGGGTACAGTAGCCTACTGTGTACCCTCTCCAGGCAGAGGGGAGGAGGGCTCCCAGGATCTTTCACATGCCAGAGTCACCTGAGTACAGACAGAACCCCAGGAGTGGTTCCAGGATGCAGTCATGCCCAACAAACTAGCAACCAAGCACCAGGCAGGCATTGGCTTACTCAGCTGTTCTATCCTAAACTCAGTCACCACTGGGTCTGACAGTTGTCCTGGCTTCCACTGGGGCTTAAAAGGAGCACTCAAGACATGACCTGACAAGACAGTCATACTCATGTGGGATGTCCCCATGAGTCACTGACACTAAGTCCCTCTAACTTCAGTGTCACTACTGAGTAGTAGTAGAGAGGATGTATATACATATACATATACATTTTTAAAAATAATGTGTCTGGGTGTTTTGCCTGCATAAATCCTATGTACCACTTGTATGTAGTGTCTATAGAGGCCAGAAGAGGGGATCAGATGCCCCTAGAACTGAAGTTGTAGATTGTTGTGTGCCCCCATGTGGGTGCTGGAAACAGAACCTGGGTTCGATTCAAGAGCAACAACAAGTGTTCTTAGCTACTGAAACGTCTCTCTAGGCCCAGATAACTCCTATTTTGAGCTCATTAGTGTTGGAGTTGACTCTGTAGAGTGGGGATAAAATACTTTTGGGGCTTTACCTCACGTATTTGCTTATCTCTTTTCTTCTGTTATTAGGAAAAAACAAATGAATATAGCCTCCACAAGTCAACCCACAGAAGATTTTTTCTCACAGTTTAATACAAGAAGCCGCTAATAGAAAAGACTCTCCTTTTCTTGTTGATGGTAGTGCGGTCCCCCAAGAGTCATACTTATTTCAAAGTGAACCTGCTCCTTGGTGTGAACATCATCCCTGTCAAGTCACACTACCCTGGTGGGGAGTGTGCACTCTTGAAGGTCTGCTCTCTGAAGGTCTCTAGTGCAGCTTTGGGTGCTGTGGACACAGAGCACACAGGACACACTGAGGGCCAGTGTGCTGCTCCAGCTCCAGGCTAGCTGCTGCAATCACTTGCTAACTCAATGAGCATATAGGTGTTGTCCTATGTGTTCCACGAAGCACTCCTTGGTTGGATTCTCACCCCAGAGGCAGACCAGTACCTCTACCACTGTCTGGTGGGAAAGTCTTTAGTTAAAGGCCCACATCTGGCTTATCGTGTGATTTCCCCCTACCAGGAAATCTCAGCACTCAGGATTGAACCCAGAACATGAGGCCTTTTCATCCTCTGGCTCCTATAACATGGACCCAGGCAACAGTGACTTCTTTAAAGCATCAGTTTGTATTTCTTGCTGCAACAAAAGCAATCTGACCTCCAGGCCCTGCTGGTTGGGGAGGACCCCGTGTCCTCTGCTGCTTGCTCAACCTCCCTTCCACCATGTAGCTTCCATCCTAGAGTCTAGGCCTCTGGTCCAGCTGGAGACCCTGTACTGAATCCTGTCACCAGAACCTAGCATTCACACCCTTCAGGAATGTGGTCCAGAAAGTACCCATTTTGCCTCTGCTCAAATCCCCACTGTGACTTGAGCTCCTGCTAGCAAGAGTGCTCCTGTTTTGGTCTGGAGGTCCCTGGAATGATAAACACTTGAAGGGGATGTCCAGACCCAGGAGACCTCCACATTTGCCCATCATAAATGCATTCGCTAGGAAATATGCCACCACTGATGCTAACAGCTGCTGGGCTTTCAGGAAGGTCAAACTGAGTTGAGGTCATCAGTAGAGTAGGGCAGTGCTTAGTGGCCATCACTTTTGGCCACAGATATGCACAGGTCTGTCCTTTACAAACACCCACCTGAGCCAAGAGTCCAATAGTAGTGACAAAGTGGCCCAGGATATTTAGTCAACCACAGGGTCCACCCATGCTTTTCCACAGACTTCACTTTGCCTGGGTCTTTCCACACAGTCTGTGCCTCTGTCATAAAACTGGGACCTGTTGTTCTACCTCATGTTTCGTCTGGGAACCCACATACCCCCTAAGAATGGCTCCAGCCCACAGGTAGACTAGGCCTCTCTTCTCTGGAGCAACGTGGAATCCTGTGATACAACCCAAAATGTTGCCCACAGAAACCAAAGCACCCCATCAGAGAAGATACCAGGGCCCAGCCTCTTCAGATGGCCACCTGTGTGCTTGGGTGGCCCCACTACCAAGCCCAAGACACCTTCGTCTGGAACTCAGTCATTGTTTCCTGAGCAGGAGTGTATGACTCCAGGAGTGCATTATGGGACAAGAACATGACAGGAAGAAAGGGTGGGTGTGAATGCTTTGGGGAGGGAGCCTTAAGAGCACTACAGCAGACTGGGCCCCTTAAACAGTAGACAATTCTAGTTCCTTGGAGTTCTGAGGGTTAGAAGTTTGTGATGGAAGCCCAGTGGTGGTGGCACACACCTTTAATCTTAGCACTCGGGAGGCAGAGGCAGATGGATCTCTTGATTTTGAGGCCAGCCTGGTCTACAGAGCAAGTTCTAGGACAGCCATGGCTACACAGAGGAAACCCTGTGTTGAAAAACAAAAACAAACAAACAAACAAACATGCAAAAAAGTTGGTGATGGAGATGCCAGGAAGGTAAGGGCATAATGACTCATGTTAACAACTGCGTTTGTAATTACCCTATTTCCAAGTAAGGTTACTGTTTGAGTTATTGGAGGATAGGATCATAAGTCATCCCATCACTGAATAAAATGCCAAGGGACCCCTGGATGTATCAATAATTCTATGGGGAACATTGATGAAAGGGCCAGTATTTGGCACAAGATATCTCAAGACAAAAGTCTCAGCACAAAGGAGATTTATTTGCCCCAGAGGGACAAAAGATAGGGAATAAGAGACAAAGATGGGAGATAGAGGAAGAGGGAGGTAGGGAAAAGAACAAAGGAGGGAGGAAGGAATATTTGTCCTGGAGGAACAAAGGACTGTCTCTGAATAGAGAGGAAAGAGACAGACATAACCTATGGGCAAATGGAGGTCTATAAAGGCAAAAGGGAAAACCCTGTGTTAGGATAAGGTGTTTAATTTTAGCTGGGCATGTTTCAATACTTTGATAGCTGGACCTTGGCAGTCTACCTCAGGGGGAGGAAGTGACCAAATAAGGGACTAGAATTTGGTGGCTAGCTTTAGGAATGTAATCTAATGGCTTTTTAGGAAGGCAGAGGAAATAGGGGAAGGGAAAGGCCCACCAGAGCCATGTTTGCTATGCTTGGACCAACTAGAGTCTCTTCACTGGGTGCCCAGGATCAACAAGTCAGCTTAGGGCAGCATTCTGTTGACAGACAATAGACAGTCAGCTGAGGTGGTAGATGCTCCTGCTTTTGAGGAGTATGGTGGTTTGAATGAAAATGGCCCTCATAGTCCCATAGGGAGTGGCGCTATTAGGAGATGTGGCCTTGTTGAAGTAGGTGTGGCCTTTTGGAGGAAGTATGTCACTGTGGGTTTCAGAAGCTCAAGCCATGCCCAGTGGCTCACCATCTTTCTGTTGCCTGCCAATCCAGATGTAGAACTCTCAACTCCTTCTCCAGCACCATGTCTGCCTGTGTGCCACCATGTTCCCCACAATAATAATGGACTAAACCTTTGAACCTACAAACCAGCCCCAATTAAATGTTTTCCTTTATAAGAGTTGCATGGTCTTAATATCTCTTGATAGAAATAGAAACTTTAAGACAAGGAGGGAGACACAGTGAAATGTCCATAGAAACACTATACGTCCATCAGTTGAATTTATCAACAAAATGTGATGTCTCTGCACAGTAATTATTCAGCCCTAGAGAAGTGAGTTGCCAACAGAACACATGCAGCATGGATGGCCTTGAAAACATGCCAAGGAAGAAGCCAGTCATGAAGGGCTATACGCAGTATGATTACATTTTTATGTAAGACATGTCCAGAATAGATCTTTAGAGACAGAAAACAAGTTAGACTTTTGCTAGGGATAGGCTTGAGTGGTAGATAAAGGGCACAGAGTTCCTCTGGGTGCTGAGAATGTGGTAGAATTAGGACCAATGGCTGTAGAACACTGAGTATACCAAAACCCATAGAAATAGACACCAAGGATAGGTAAGATGAGGAAGTCACATCTCAGCCAAATTGCAACTGGGAAAAGGACTTTCCCTAATTAACATGCCCAAAAGTAACCATGTGCTTACCTTGGGGGCTAGAAAAGAAATGAAAATATAAGTCCACAAAATGACTGTTACAGAAATGGTCATAATGTCGCTATTTGTTAAAGCCCCAAACTGGGTCAATCAAACTGTTTATCAACAGGTAATCAAGTGCACATCTGTGTTGTATTCATAATACCACAGAAATAAGTTGCTAATAAAGTCCACCAAAAGTCAGAGACAGAAACCATAAGCAGAAACACCACACCAGATATAAAAGAGTGTACAACATGAGATTTTACGTGTTAGAAGTTCCAGGATTAGCAAAACTGTTCTTTTAGGAAGGCAGGAGGGTGACCACAGAGAAACATGAGGTTATATGCTAAGAGTGGAGGAAGTGTACAGATAAAAAACAGTTACTCCACCTACTGCTACCAGAACTGTAGCTGAGGGCCCCTAACAAGTGAACTCTATTTCTGTCGGCCATTGCCACATCTACCAGTAGGTGGCGTTTCTGGCTCGCCTGCTCCAACCTCCACAGAGCCCTGGCCATCTTGCTTCCACTAGCGCCAGAGTGTCTGCAGATAAAGAAGGCTGGTGGGGGAAGGCCATTATGACAACCTGAACAACAGCCATTTTGGGTGACAGAGCAATGAGACAATAAGGCCCCACCCTGTGCTCAAGCAGCAGTCCTAATCCTTGTCGCTGACCGCTGACCGAGCATGGAGAGAGGCTGGGGATTGTTGAAGACAAGGAAAATTTCAGGAGGTGGAAGCCAGGCAGGGAGCTAAGTGCAGTGTGCACTTACAGTGTGGTGCTTCATCTCTGATTGCTCGCCACACCCCAGATGTCCAGGTCTCTTTCCTAACCATTACCTTCAGGCACATGCTGCCCATGGTGGAGCCCATGCCTTCTGTCAGACCTGGCAGCAGTCAGTCTTTCCAACTCTTTTTGTGGAGCTGCCCCCTTTGTTTTCTTCTATGAATGAGGGAGGTGAGCATCTTATCACGGCCCTGAAATGAGACATGGCCAGTAGAAAGCCCATGGCTATATGAGCCTTTCTTACAGTTATTCTAGAAAACACTTTAAACTTCCTTCTTCCAATGGTGCCAGAGAAACTTCAACTCTACTAGCTACAATTTGGGGACCAGAACACCTCAAAGCTTATTGAAGAAAGAAAATGCTAGGGCCGTCTCCTCCACACCAGACTGTCTTCTCAATCACCCTGGGACTTGGGTTCACAGTGTAGCTTCGTTGACAAGATGTCCAGGCAGAATGGCAGGTCTCACAAGCATCTGAATTTCCTAGAGATAAGAAGAGCTAGACAGTTACCACGAAGTCTCTTTTCTAAGGTCACTCAGCGTCCTTGTCTTGCTTCTCTGGTAAGAAGCGCAGCGGGTTCCACTACCTGGCCAGTGTTCATTCTCAACTCAAGTTCATGAAGATGTGCAGTTCATAGGCCCCATCTCCAGCCATATCCTCTCTGGGGGAGGGTTTTATGGGTCCAAGTTCAATCCTATGGGGAAAAAACAGTACACTTGCAGCTGCAGAGCCCAGCACCACACTGGCCCAGTGTTATCATCTTATTAAAGCCTTCACAATCCTTTCTTACACTGAAGGGACCAGCTCCCCATTTCAGCAGTCTTAACAGCCTAACACGCGCTTGCCTGACCTTGCCTTGGTCACTATGAGGTCAGATGCCTGCCTCGTGGCAAGGAGTCAATCAGAAGTTAGCTGGTAGTGCTATGCTTTACAGCTCTGGGTGTGCTTTACGGACAAATGCACAGCAATGGCACACAGAGCATAGCAATCACCCTGGGAGGCCCTATGGGCCATAACCACCAGTTGACCAATCAACACAGGGCAAACCCTCCAAGCCTGAAGGCACATCCTGAGCCTGTGCCTACCCCTAGACACTCCCCTTACACTGCCCTATAAGATCTCTATCCAGTGGCTTCGCAGAGTCTTTCCTAGCCATCAGCCATGGTGGATGGATGAAAGGCCGGAGCTAACATGGGGTTAGCTCATTAAACAACTAAAATAAAGCCTTGTGCTGTTTGCATCAAGTTTTCGACTCCACCTAGTGATTGGGGTTGTTGGACCGAGATCCTGGGGGCCTGAGCCTCCCGGGGTCTTTCAACACATTCCTCATCCCAGAGGAAGATCAACCCCATCCTTGTAACCGTTCTGGACAGAAAATTTGGACTTAGCATTGAACTTCCTCTCTCTTACACACTCACATACACACACACACACACACACACACACACACACACACGGAAGAGATACCCTATCAGCAAAGCCTGTTCACCAGTCTTCAATACATCTGCATGTATATATGTATTATGTATGTATGCATGCATTATGTATGTATATTTATGCATGTGTGAGTGTATATATGTATGTATAAAACAAATTTCAGGGTGTCTCATCTGTATGGGGGAGACACCTTGATCTAAGCCAACATCTACCTAATCCCTTCACTTTCATACCCATTCCTCCCCTGTAAAACCACATTCTTTCTCAAGCCACTATAACCACAGAGCCAGGGTTAAAATGCAAGGTAGATCTTTTCAACTGCAAGAGGAGCCAAAAGTCCACATGACTGTGCCACCTCCTTTTCTGCTTCCCCTCTTCACCCTCTGCCCCAACCACTTTGTTGCTTACTATGCCCTGATCCTGCCCCACATTCCTGCCCTGGGCATGCCCCATACTCACCATTCCCTCTGCTTGGCCTCTTCTTTCTTCCAGATACACACATGGCTATAACATTCCTAGCAACTCAGCTTATCAGTTACCTTAGGTGGGGGGGTGACACTTCCTGGCCCCTATACAGAAAGGTTCTTCCCCCATGGTACTCTTCCTACATCCATGGCCCTTTTGTCTCGTTTGTAGAACCATCACTTGTTGTCCTCTTGGCCACTAAGATGCAGGTTCCATGAGGGCAGGTGCTGTTGCATTCACAGTTACTCCCAGAGCCTTGGACAGTGCAAGACATAGTGAAGGGACCAGCTCCCCATATCGGCAGCCATAACAGCTGAACATGTGCTTGTTTGACCTTGTCTTAGTCCCTAAGGTCAGATGCCTGCCTCATGGCAAGGAACCAATAAGAAGTTAGCTGGTGGAGCTATGCTTTATGGCTCTGGGTGTGCTTTACGGACAAGTGCACAGCAATGACGTGCAGAGCATAGCAACCACCCTGGGAGGGCCTATGGGCCATAACAACCAGTTGGCCAATCAACACAGGGCAAGCCCTCCCAAGCCTGGAGACACACCAATCCTGAGCCCCTAGACACTCCCCTTACACTGCCCTACAAGATCTCTCGGCAGCCGGTTCCAGCTGTCTTTGCTAGCCATCAGCCATGGCAGGTAGGTGAAAGACCCGAGCTAACATGGGGTTAGCTCATTAAAAAAACAATAAAGCCTCATGCAGTTTGCATCAAGCTCTCGAATCTGCCTGGTGATTGGGGTAACCGAGGTTGTGGGCTGAGACCCCAGAGGCTTGAGTTTTCCGGGGGTCTAACAATGGGTGTGTTGCCTGAGTTGTCTCAGGGAGAGTTTCACAGTCTGAACTGAAACAGCCAAGGTTCTGGTATTGTTGCAGCTATCCCTCCTAAACATCCTGAGAACTGAGAGGAGAACTGACCCACCAGGGAACAATTGGTATGATGATTCAGGAGCCACCAGGGAAGAATTTGTAACTGGAGGTTTCTTACCTGCCCACTCAGAGGCTTAATATTAATTACAAATTGTTTGGTCTATTAGTTCAGGCTTATTATTAACTAGTTCTTACAACTTAAATTAACCCATTTCTATTATTCTATATTTTACCAGGAGGCTTATGGCTCATTACCTCACATCTTGCTTCCCCAGTAGCTGCTGGTGTCTCCATGACCTGACCTTCTTTCTCCCTCTATCTCTGTTTGGATTTCCCATCTAGCTATTTTCTGTCCTGACATAGGCCAAAGCAGCTTCTTTATTAACCAATGACAATAAAATATATTCACAGCATATAGTGGGGCATCCCACATCAATAATTCACTCTGGGGGAAACAGGCCTCGAACAGTGTAGCCTAGTTATCTGATCGAGTTAGCTGACAATGGGGAATTCTGTTCCTGGGTAGGGCAATGGAAATTCAGTGGCCAGCACCCACCAGGCAGGAGAAACCCGGTCATGTCACCTGAGAGATAGCTTGAGGTATCAGAGAGCATGCTTAGCCAAGTCTGGTATCATTGCATATGCTGGCCATCTCTTAGGTTAGAAAGGCTACATCAAGCTGGTTCTGGTGACGCAGGCTGGTAGGATTTGCTGAAGGAGGCAGAGGCAGGAGAATCTGGAGTTCGAGGCTAGCCTGGACTACATATTGAGGGAGAGGGAACTGGGATTATCATGTAAAACAATCTTGTTTCTAATTCAAATAAAAAAATCTACAGAAAGAAAGGAAGGAAGGAAGGATGGAAGGAAGGAAGGAAGGAAGGAAGGAAGGAAGGAAGAAAGAAAGAAAGAAGGAAAGAAAGAAAGAAAGGCTGCATCAAGAGGCTAGCCCCACTCAGCTAGCAGCACTGTGCTTGGTTGGTAGCCCTTGAAAGTCATATACTAAGGCTGTGCTATTCTTCCCTGTAGATTCAAGTTTGCTTGTTAGACCCCCGAAAACTCAAGTATCCAGGGTCCCAGGCCACATTCGTGGTCACCCCAATCACCAGGCGGATTCGAGAGCTTGCTGCAAACTGCACGAGGCTTTATTGTAATTTAACGAGCTAACCCCATGTTAGCTCGGGTCTTTCACCCACCCGCTA